TGATTCGCAAAAAACACGAGGCTTATTTTTCGTTAATGCGACGCTTACAAAAACTGATTTCCGCATATTTCAAGCCGGAACAATCACGACAAATAGGAATTATCTACGAAATATACTACCAACGCCTAGAATCTTACGGATTGACCCAGTGCTGGAAGTTCCATATATTGCTGGCACTAAGTCCGCGATCAGCGTGGCCTTAATTGTTGATGATGGTATCTCGACTCTGAAATTTCGGAGGGTTCGTATGATAATTTCACGGATGTTACGATTCCCGGCGGTTGCAATAATGATCGCGATAGCGGTCACTACAGCAGTGGTCGCATGTGGCGAAACGGCTGAGCCTACTGAACCGCCGTCCGCAACTCAGGCCGCTGCTATAGCGCCACAAGCGCAGGCGACAAACACGCCGGTGTCATCTGATGCGCAACCGACCCCAACGCAGCGGGTCTCAGTGCAGCAGGCTACTCCGCGGCCAACTCTGGCGCCCGATGCGCAGCAAGGCGATGTGGTCACTGACCGGCTCATCCTGGTGATCGACTCGCCGCTGCTTTCATCCATGCTGGACTGCGAGGTAACGGGTTCCGGAGTAGTGGTCTACAGAATGTCGGCGGAGTTCATGGTAGATGCCAGCCGCTTCGACGGTTCCTATGAGCCAATGCTGGCTAACGAGTGGAGCATCACACCGGACGGGCGCACCTGGAATTTCAAACTGCGCCAGGGTGTTCAATGGCAGCATGGTTGGGGTGAATTTACCGCCCAGGACGTCGCCCATTCGATGGCGTACTACACCAGCCCCGAGTGCCGAGCGTCGTACTCCGACTATTTCCGCAATGATCCCGGCATTGCAGTCGAGATCGTGAACGACTACGAAGTGAATATGCATACGCAACTGCGTCCCGCAGTGGACTTCGTATATTGGTATTCGGGATTCCGGGGGATCCCCCAGAGCAGCAAGGCGCAGTGGGATCAGGATTGTCCGAACGGTGAAGCCGATTACGGCGAGATCGGGTACTGTGCAGCCAGCCGCGACAAGGTATACGAAATGTCGGCGCGAACCGGCCCGTATCAGTTCGTCAGTTTTGAAGAAGGCGTGGGATGGGAGTGGGAAGTTGTCGATTACGACCACTGGCGGGTTAGTCCGGACTTTTCCGAGATTGAGATCAAGGATGTAAAGGAACCTGCAACCCGGTTAGCGATCATGCTGGCTGGGGAAGGGCACATCGCGGCAATCAACCGCGCGTTGCTGCAGGATGCTGTCGACGGTGGTCTGGAAGTGTTTGACAGTTCGGTGACGGCGAACACTACCTTCGCTCTGTTTGGCGGGCTGTATTACACCACCGGTGAGAAGGGAGTTCCCGACGACGTTTCGCCGGAAATACAGGCGGAACTCAGGGAAGCGTACAACGTCGTGGCCGGTCGGGACGAGGAGCACCCGTGGAACATTCCGGGTGAAACGGGCCGGCTGGTTCGCCAGGCGATGAATATGGCGATCGACCGCGACCAAATCAACGATGCGATTTTCAAGGGAGCTGGTGGTCGCCAGTGGGTCGGTACCCTGGCCCCCGATCTTCCGACCGGCTACAACCCGGCTTGGGAAGAGCGATGGGAGGAGCTTTACGGTTACAATCCCGAGAGGGCCAAAGAACTGCTCGCGGAAGCTGGGTTCCCCAATGGATTCTCAGTCCCTATCCCCGTGTTCACGCTGTCTGGTGTGCCAGAAATGCCTGACATGATGGAAGCAATGGCCAAATTCTGGACAGCGATCGGTCTGGATCCGCAACTCGACCCCATTGAGGCGGCCACCTGGCGCAACCACTACCGCGGATTGGATACCGACTGCTGCGTTTATCCCTTCCGGGGACCGGCGGCTCCCGTCGACACCCGCGTCCACTTCTACTTTAGTGGCGAGCGTTTCTTCCGTGCCTACACCAGCGACGACATCCAGGAAACCAAGAACCGAGCCCTCCGGGCATTGAATGAAGCGGACGCCTTGGTGGATTGGCAAAAAGTCACTGACGAGATTTTCTACCAGTCTGGAACCATCCCCGGTTGGACACTGCCAGTGAGTGCGACGGTGAATCCCGACGTAGTCGCCGAGTACATATTCCTGGGACCGAACAACGGGAACTATGTGTACCTGGAATACGTCAAGGGCGTTAGGGAATAAACCGTTTCTCAGGCGGAATTTGGCCGATCGAGACATTAAGCAATCCCTCGATGATGCAGAACAACGGCTTCGTCGAGGGTTACCGTTCCATCCATCACTTCTGGGTGATTCCCGGCGTTGGCTCCTGTGGACCGTTTAACCCACCTCTACAAGGATTAGTGTTATGCAACGATTCATCGTTACCCGAATTTTGCAGGGCCTATTGGCAATCTTCGTCATCAGCTTGATCGTATTCGCTCTGTCCAGGGTAGCCGGGGATCCCATTGCCGCGATTCTCGACGATGAAACAGGCCAAGAACAGATCGAGTTGCTTCGCAAAGAGTGGGGTTTGGACAAGCCGTTGCATGTACAGTACTTTACTTACATGAGGCGCCTATTGACCGGTGATTTGGGCACTTCTTTCAAGTGGGATCGGCCAGTTGCAGAATTGATCGCGGAGAAATTGCCGGCCACCATGCAGCTATCTGCGTTCGCGTTGTTGATAACCGCCGTCATTGCGTTTCCAGTAGGAGTGTTATCGGCGGTGAAGAAGGATTCGATATTTGACACGTTGGGAAAGATGTTCGCGATATTAGGTCAATCCGCGCCGACATTCGCAGTCGGTCTTATCGCAATGTGGATCTTCGCCGTCCAGTTTGGCATCCTTCCTACCTCTGGCAGAGGCGGCGTATCACATATGCTGCTCCCGGGGTTTGCACTGGGTTATTACAACGTAGCCGCGATCATGCGATTGACCAGGTCATCGATGTTGGATGTTCTGGACACTGAGTACGTGAAACTGGCTCGTATCAAGGGTATCCCGGAATGGAAAATTATTTGGAAGCACTGCTTCCGGAACGCGTTAATAGTGCCGATTACCTTTTTCAGCCTCATCGGCGCCGTGCTAATCACCGGTTCCGTGGTAATCGAAACTGTCTTTGCCTGGCCAGGGGTCGGTCAATTGGTCATTCAATCGATTGTTGCTAAAGACCACATTACGGTGCAGGCAATCGTGATGCTGTTCGCTCTGCTTTACATCGGAATAAACATCATCACCGACGTCGCGTACGCCTACGTTGATCCAAGAATCCGTTACAACTGATGTCACGACAAGGTCGATTGACTGATTTGATCAGTATCTGAGGAGCATTGACCATGGCTGTCCAATCTACTGCGCCCGGTTCAGCTGGAGACATTCAGCAAACTGCCCCGGTATCGCCGGGTATTACGATCGGGAAGATCTGGCGCGAAACCCGCAGATTCCCGGTAGTGCCATCTTTGATACTCATAGTGCTACTGGTAGTTCCAGCGCTATTCGCGCCTTGGATCGCGCCGCACGACCACATCATCGGTGATCTGGAACGTGAATTGGAGCCACCCGGATGGGTCAGCGATCGCGAAACCAAACTGGAAATCGTTAGCCGAGTAGAGGACACCGGCCGCGAAATTAGCATTCGCAACGCCGTACGGAACATAGAGACCGGCGCCGCAACCCTTGTGGACTCTAACGGCAATGGCCAGGCTGATATTGGCGAAACTATGCTGCGCCAAGAACAGGGCGGCAGCTGGGAGTATCCCCTGGGCACTGATAAACAAGGCCGCGACGTGCTCAGCCGCATCATTTTTGGCTCTCGGATCTCTCTGACCGTATCTTGTCTGGCAATCCTGGTGGGCGGCATTCTCGGTACGTCGCTGGGGATGCTCGCCGCATATCGGGGCGGCTTGACCGATGCAATAGTCATGCGGATCGTCGACATCAAATTGGCATTTCCCTCTATTCTGTTGGCACTCACCCTGGTCTCGGCGATTGGCTCCGGGTTCAGCACTGTCATTATCGTTATTGCTTTGCTCCTCTGGGCTCGCTACGCTCGCGTAGTGCGTGGTGACGCACTCGCCATTAAACAGCGAGACTTCGTTGATCGGGCTCGGGTTGCCGGTTCTTCTAACACCCGCATTATGGTGAAGCACATTTTCCCCAACGTGGTCAACACGGTCGTGGTTTTGGGCTACACTGGAAGTGGGCCACGTTATCATCCTGGAATCGACGCTAAGTTTCTTGGGGGCCGGCATCCCGGCGCCTACGCCAGCGTGGGGAGTGATGGCTTCTGATGGACGTGAGCTAATTACCAGTTCCTGGTGGATTTTCTTGTTCCCGTGCCTGGCCATCGTCCTGACGGTACTGTCGATGAACCTGCTGGGAGACTGGTTGCGGGACCGCCTGGACCCCAAATTGCGGAACGTGTAAGTCTCAAAAACGCAACAACAAAAGAATTCGTCTCGCTGCCTGGATTTTGGCGGTTCTTCACACGGATCGCCGAGCATTCGGAGTTTTCACACTCTGCACTGCACTCCAGGCAGCAAAGTTATTAACTCGGTGCTGATTGAACGGGTGAATGGTTAGTCCAAGCACTGAACAGAGCCGCGGCCCTGTTGGGATTGGTTGAGGCGCCGCCCTGCATGCACGGCCAATTGAGTGCGTTATTTCGTTACCGGCTTGCCCTCGAATCTATGTATTATGTTATTCAAATACAACAACGACGATGACATTCCATATTGTGTAGTGTCACGAATCTTCGGCACATAATGCGCCATTACGACTCCGCCAATGTGCTAATGTCGTAATAGACTTGACGTGTTTCGTAAACAGAACGCTCATGTTGGACGAAACGCCGTGCAACACCCAATGTTGGACGGTTTGACTGCATCTTCCAAGTTGCATATATTTGCTAGCCACCCATGTGGTGCAGGTGGCCGATGCGCGCACCAGAAAACTGGCAGTCAGGTTCCTGGTTCGTGTTTTTGCAGTTGCCATTACCCTTATAGGAGTAACCCGATGTCAAAAATACCAATCATGCGGTTCCCATTCGTTGCGCTACTGATCTCCCTCGCTACCATGCTGGTAGTAGTTGGGTGTGGAGGGACCGGAGAGCCCGCAGCAGCGCCTGTCGCAACTGAGGCGGTTGCGGCCACTTCACCGCCCGCTGTTGTGGCAACGGCACCTCCTGCCGGTGGAGAGTCCGCTCCAACGCGGCCGTCGTTCGTCGGCTCGGCTCCCGTCTCCAATGTGACGCCGACCGCTGACACGAGCGCTGCCACCGGCGAACTCAAAACCAAAGACCTGATTTTCCTGTTCTCCCAACAAACCCGCCAGGGAATCATGGACTGCGACGTCACGGGCAGCGCGACTAGTCAGCATCGCCCGTCGCACGAATTCCTGTTGGACCCCAACCGGTACAGCGGAGCCATTGAACCGCAACTCGCCACGGACTGGAGCGTATCTGAGGACGGGCGTATCTGGAATTTCAAACTGAGGGAAGGTGTCGAGTTCCATTTCGGATACGGCGAATTCACTGCCGACGACATTGTGAACTCCTTGAATTACTACACCAACCCCGTCTGTGCGGCATCCTACTCGGACTATTTCCGCACCAACCCTCAGGCCGTGCCTGAGATAGTGAGCGACCACGAAATTAACCTGCACATGGGTGTCCGCCCTGAGCTCATTTTTGACTACTGGATCTCTGGATATCGCGGTCTACCCATCACCAGCAAGGCCCAATGGGACACTGGATGCCCCAATGGTGCGGCAGATTACGAGGCATTCGATACGTCTCCTCACCTGGATGGATTTTGTACCGCTGGCGAGCAGACATTGCTGGACGAAGGCCCGGCCCGACTTGGCCCATACCAATTCGCCAATTTCGAGAAAGGCATCGGTTGGTTGTGGGAACGTTCCCCGATCGACCACTACCGGGTCGACCCGGACTGGGATTCCATAGAGATCAAGATTATCGAAGAGGCGTCAACGCGGTTGGCCGCGATGCTAGCGCGAGAAGCGCAGCTTGCTACCATTGACCGGGCGTTGGTCGGTCAGGCACTGGATTCCGGATTGGACCTCTCCCAAAGCCAGGTCACTGCCGTCAACAGTATGATGGTATTCGGAGGTATGTACTTCTCGACCAAAGAAGGCCCCGAGTTCGCACCCTACTCCGCGGCGTCATATGACTCTACCGTGCCTTGGGCGGATCGGGGCGAAAATGGGAAAATGGTCCGTATGGCAATGAACAAAGCGATTGATCGCGATGCCATCAGGGAAAATATCTTTGACGGCCAGGGCGACGAAGGGCGCGTAGCCGGGCTCATACCCAGTTCGGAGGCGTTCGGCGGCGAGTATGCCGGCTACAACCCGGCATGGGAATCGGATGGGAAGAACTTTACGGCTACGATGTCGAGGGCGCCAGGGAATTGCTGGTTGAGGCCGGTTACCCCAACGGATTCCATGTTCCGATCATCAGTTACACGATGAGCGGATTGCCGGAGATGAAGGATTACGTGGAAGCCATTGCGGCAATGTGGGAGCAGATCGGATTGGAAACCGAAATCAGGGAAATGGAGTTTTCAGCTTGGCGGGAAGAGTATCGTGGCGCGACCACCACGTGTTGTGTTTACCCGTTCCGCGGATATGCAGAACCGCCTCATCCGACCGTCCACTTTGCTTATAGCCCTGAGCGGTTTATGCGCTTCTACGTTAGTGATACCGCTTGGCAAAACACTTACAACGCACTGAATTCGCTGAACTTCGAAGAGCAGCTGGGCCACTGGCACGCTGTAACCGACGAGTTGTTCTACGACGTGGTGAGTATTCCTTTGCACACGCTTTCGGTTCAGGTAGTCATCGACCCCGAGGTCGTCGCGGAGTACGCCTATCTCGGGCCTTATGGCGGCCAATTCACCGACCTGGAACATATCAGGGGAGTGCGCTACTAAGCCGGTGACCCTATCGTAAATCCGAGTCAAGATAGCGCTAATATCCTCCGGCCAAACCACCAGTCCTGGTGCGGAAAGCCGGAGGGATTGCCTGTTTGGACACCAAGTAAAATAAGGGAGTCTTTGATGCAGCGGTACATTTTGCGAAGATTGGCCCAGGGTATCCTCGCCATCTTCGTCATCAGCACAGTGACGTTCGCACTGGCCCGTGTTTCGGGGGACCCTCTGAATGTGTTGTTGCCCGAAGAGGCGTCCGAGGAGCAAATCGCCCTCACCAAGATCGAATGGGGGCTCGATAAACCTCTTCACATGCAATACATCTTGTTCCTGGGGAAGTTGGTCCAGGGGGATTTGGGCGAAGCATTGGCTTGGCCCAACACCTCCGCCACCGAACTGATCATAGAACGCCTCCCCAACACGGTTCAACTCTCCGCGGCCGCATTGTTGGTCAGCGGTCTGATCGCATTTCCGGTCGGCGTCCTCGTGGCAATCAAAAAGGACACATTCATAGACTTCGGCGGCAAGATGTTTGCCATCTTGGGTCAGTCCGCGCCGTCATTCGCGGTGGGACTGATTTTGATGTGGATATTCGCCGTTCAGTTGGATATCTTCCCCACTTCTGGGAACGGCGGGATCGAATACATGGTGCTGCCCGCGATAGCCTTGGGCTATTACAACGTGGCAGCGCTGATGCGACTGACCCGTTCGTCCATGCTCGAAGTGCTGGACACGGAGTACGTGAAGCTGGCGCGGATTAAAGGCGTTCCGGAATGGAAGATCGTCTGGAAACACTGTTTCCGTAATGCTCTCATCGTACCGATTACGTATTTTGGCCTCATTGGAGCAGTGCTGATCACGGGTTCAGTCGTCATTGAGACCGTGTTCGCGTGGCCCGGCCTGGGCGCCTTGGTCATCGACGCGATTTTGTTCCGAGACTACGTCGTGGTGCAGGCCGTCGTTTTGTTGTTCGCGACCGCATTCGTGTGTATCAACATAATGGTTGATGTGCTTTACGCTTATATCGACCCTCGAATCCGCTACGGGTAAACTACCCGCGTATTCGTACCCGTGCAACCACCCGATAGGGGAGGTAGAAAATGGCAGTAATCGTTACCACTCCGGGAATAGCCGCTCCCGTCGACCAACGCCCGCCGAGCCGACTGGCTTCCGGCTTACAAACAGTGCGGCAACTTCCGATTATTCCAACCGCCATCTTGATCGTGCTGCTGGTGATCCCCGCAATTTTCGCCAATCAATTGGCTCCCCATAGTCACCGGCTGGGCACCCTGGACGATGCAAAACTGCCGCCGTTCTGGGTTTCAGAGAGTTTCGAACAGCGTACCGTGGTGCAGCGTGCCGACCGAACCCAGCTGGATACTGTAATTGGGATGTCCAACGCCCAACGGAAACTCCAGCGCGGTGAGGCCACCTTCATCTCCGGTGGCGAAGATGGCGCGGTCAACCCTGGCGACGTTATCAGGTACCAGGCCACAGAAGGAGGGTCCACCAAATATCTATTGGGTACCGACAAACAAGGGCGCGACATTCTTAGTCGCATCATGCACGGCGCCCGCATCTCGTTGCTGGTGTCGTCCTTGGCTATTCTGTTGGGCGGCGGGCTTGGCACGATATTAGGAATGTTGGCGGCGTACCGGGGCGGCAAAATCGACTCCGTTATAATGCGTGTCGTTGATATCAAGCTGGCGTTCCCATCAATATTGCTGGCCTTGGTGCTGGTTGCCGCGATCGGCGCCGGCATAACCACCGTCATCATCGTGATAGCCGTGTTGTTGTGGGCACGGTATGCCCGCATCGTGCGCGGCGAAGCATTAGCAATCAAGCAGCAGGATTTCATCGATCGGGCGCGTGTGTCTGGTGCTTCAAACGTAAGGATTATGATGCACCACATTTTCCCGAACCTCGTCAACACTGTGGTAGTATTAGCCACACTGGAGGTTGGTCACGTAATTATCCTAGAATCCACTCTGAGCTTCCTGGGCGCCGGTATTCAGGCTCCCAGACCGGCTTGGGGAGTTATGGTTGCGGGCGGCAGAGACCTCATCACAATTGAGTGGTGGATTTCCTGTTCCCGTGCTTGGCCATCGTCCTGACGGTACTATCAATGAACTTGCTGGGAGACTGGTTGCGAGACCGCTTGGATCCTAAATTGAGGAACGTGTAGTGCTATGACAGCTGTGCAAACCGAAGCCGAAACTATTCTGGAAGTAAAAGACCTTTATACCTACATTTTCACCCGCAACGCCACGGTGAAGGCTGTGGACGGCATTTCCTTCACTTTGCATAAGGGCGAAACCTTGGGCATCGTGGGGGAATCGGGTTGCGGTAAAACCATGACGGCACTGTCGCTGCTGCGATTGGTACCTCGCCCGGCCGGCAAAATTGTCGGGGGCGAAGTGATCCTGAATGGCGAAGATGTCCTGCTGAAAAGCGAAGACGAGATGCGCGACGTTCGAGGCCGCCAGATCTCGATGATTCTGCAGGACCCGCAGACCTCGCTCAATCCGGTGTTCACCATTGGTAACCAGTTGCGCGAGGCCCTGGGGATTGCCCACAAGGAAAACAAACGGTCGATGTTGGGAAGGGCGGTTGGCGCCCTGCGTTCGGTCAACGTGGCCGCTCCCGAGCGTCGCCTGGATGACTATCCTCACCAGATGTCTGGGGGGATGAAACAACGCGTAGTCGGCGCCATCGCGATGTCGTGCGAACCTGGCGTAATCATTGCCGACGAACCTACAACCGCGCTTGACGTCACCATCCAGCTCCAGTATTTGCGGCTGCTGAAAGACATTCAGGCGGAGACTGGACTGGCCATCATCTTCATCACCCACGACTTTGGTGTGGTGGCGCGGATGTGCGACCGGGTGGCGGTGATGTACGCCGGGCGCATTATCGAACAAGGGAATGTGCGCGATATTTTCAACGCACCGTCGCATCCTTATACGCAGGCGCTGATCAACTCCGTGCCCAAGCTGGAAGAGCGGGTCGACCGGCTGTACTCCATCGACGGGCAACCGCCGCTGTTGTCCAACTTGCCTGAGGGTTGCCGGTTCGCGCCGCGTTGCATTTATGCAACCGACCAGTGCTACGAATCCTATCCGCCGTCTGTCCAAATGAAAGAAGGGCATCACGCTGATTGCTGGGCGTTGCACGAAGGCTGGCAAGGAACGGCAATTTCCGAATTCGTTGCGCCAACCGGCACTGCTGGCTAAGTTGACTCCGACCTGCAGACCCTCCAACTAATCCTGAGGAGGAACGATTACTAATGGTAGTCGCCACCAACGAAAACCTGTTGGAAGTACGAGGACTCAAGAAATACTTCCCGGTTACCAAGGGCCTAATCATGATGAAGACTGTCGGCTACGTGCAGGCGGTCGATGGAATTTCGTTCAACATCAAGCAGGGAGAAACCGTCGGACTGGTCGGTGAATCCGGCTGCGGCAAGACGACAACCAGCAAGTTGTTGTTGCGTCTGGAAGTTCCTACAGAAGGCGAAATCCTGTTGGAAGGGCAAGACATCAGCGGCTTCCGCGGCGCTCAGTTGCAGGAATATCGCACCACTGTGCAAGCCGTGTTTCAGGATCCGTGGTCGTCCCTGAGCCCTCGAATGCGAGTCCGCGACATCGTAGCTGAGCCGTTGATCGTCAACCGGAACGTTACGACTAGTGAAAAGAACGAGCGCGTGGCTGAGGTGCTGAACCAGGTTGGATTGCACCCAGAGCAAGCTAACAACTATCCCCACGAGTTTAGCGGAGGGCAGCGTCAACGTATCGCGGTGGCATCCGCGTTGGTGTCTTACCCCAAGTTGATTATCCTGGACGAACCGGTGTCGGCGCTAGACGTTTCGATTCGCGCGCAGGTAATGAACCTGCTCAAAGACCTTCAGGAACAGTACAACGTCAGCTACCTGTTGATCGCCCACAACTTGGCCACCGTGCGGTACATGGCCCACCAGACGGCGGTGATGTACCTCGGGCAAATCGTTGAATACGCTGACACCGAAGAGTTGTACGAAAATGCCCTGCACCCGTACACCAAGGCGCTGTTCTCAGCGGCGTTGCCGTCCCATCCTGACATGATTCGCGAGGACATCGTGCTGCAAGGTGAGGTGCCTTCACCCATCAACCCGCCCACCGGGTGCCGGTTCCACCCACGGTGTCCCTTCGCAATGCCGCAATGCTCGGAAGAAGTTCCCGTTGAGAAGGAAGTATCTCCCGGCCACCGGGTGTCCTGCCACCTGTATTAACGCAACCGGGCAACATACCTGCGATCTGGTACGCCGTTGCAATCAGTGATTGCAGCGGCGTATTTTCGGCCTTCAACCAGATTAACTATGCTTGTTCACTCGATGGCATAGACGCTCCCGTTGGCGGTGCGGACGATCAACAGGTCACCGATTATGGTCGGGGGAATCTTGATGGAATCGCCCAAGGGTAATTTCCAGTCCAGGACACCTGTAGACCGATCCAACGAATACAAATTGCCTGAGTCGTCCCCGAACAGCAACCGGTCTTTTACTACCACGGGTGAAGCCCAGATGGCGTCGTCGGCGGTGAATGTCCAGTTCAGGTTACCGTCAACAGGATTTATGGCGTACATATTGTGATCGTGGCCGCCGACGTACAATTCCTGATCTGGGGTTTCCTGCTGGGCCAGTTGTTGTCTGGTCTGGGTAGTTTCGGCCAGCGCCGGGCTACTTTTGATTCCCAATAGCGGGTTCTCCGGGGTAAAGCGCCAGAGTCCACCCTGCTGCCCTTGAGGACGGGGCACGCCGGGCACCTGCCATAGCCAGAGTTGAGCCCAGACCTGTTTGAATTGGTACAACCCCGGTATCTCACGGTTGCGGGCATTGATGGCGTACAACTCACCGCCGGCAGCGAAATACGCCCGCTCGCCGTCGGACGATACCACCGGGGAGCCGGTAACCGCGCGCGGCGTTCGGTATCGGAACCACTCTTGACCGGTGCGAGCCGACAGAATGTACAGGATTCCTTTGTCATCACCAACCAATAGTTTACCTTCGTGGACAGTTACGGCCGCGCTCGCGTTGCTATCCAGTTGCTTGCTCCAGATCAGGGCTCCATTGACGGCATCCAGGGCATAAACCCAGCCCTCGCCCGAACTGACGTATACCAAACCCTGCGAAAGCACCGGCGCCACTTCGACCGTGTCCTCGGCGGTGAAACTCCAAAGAGGGTCGCCGTTGAAGGCGTTCCAACCGTTGACGGTATGATCGGTGCTGCCAAAATACAGGTATGACTCATACACGACCGGGGCCCCAGTGATGCGTCCGGCGGTGTCTCCTTCCCATCCTTCGCGGATGTTTCCAGTGTCTGCTGCCAGGGGATATACGCCGTTGGCAGAACTCAGATAGATGTTGGAGCGTTGTGCCACCGGTTCCGCGTTCAATGGTTCAATTACGAACGAATCCCACTTGATGTTACCTGCAGGTGGAGAGGCCCCACCTCCACGTACCTGCTGTGACGCAGGTCGCGACCCACCACCGACCAGCTTCCCGGGCCGCTGTCGATGGTCAGTTTGGATTGGGTATTCTTGAAGAAGACCACCGGGTTCGGTGCGAACGGGTAATTCACCCAAACTACGAACACAATGAACAGGGACAACGATGCTGGCCAGGATGATGCGGCGCAACGACAATCGACGCGCGATCCAGTTTCGCCGCCGGCGTTGCGCCCACGTTGGGAGCCGCACGATCACCCCGGTGCAACGTTCACAGCGTGCGCCAACCCTTTGATCCGGCTGGCCGCAATATGGGCATTCCAGTAACAAGTGGTCGTGGAACAGCACATCGTCGTCTGCGACATCCAGCACTGCGGTTTGGCTTGAACCGGCATACACACCGTGGTCTGCCTCCGCAGCTGCGCTCGGTAAATGTCTGGCGCCGGCAGCAGTGAAGACCGGCCCTGTTTCCGGCGGCGGCGATGGCATAGGTGGCGGTTGGAGTGGCAGCTCGGTTGCGTTCGTGGCCAGAGCACCGGCGTTGTTCGAGATTTGTGGGTCTGCTGCGGCTAGCTCAACAGACGGCTGTAGTTGCGATATTCGGTCCGGAAACACCGCGCGTTCGTCTGGAACATTAACAGCGCGTGACGAATCGCCGTGCGAAACCTCGTCAATAACCGACGAGCCCGGGTCGTGAATGAATTCGCCTGACCGAGGATTTATTTCCGTGCGATCAGAAACCACTGGATCGGTGGGAGCATCTCCGGAGCGGCGAGTAAATCGTCGAAATATGTCCTTGAATCCTGGCATGGTTATCGCATCAACCGGGGTGGGCTAATTGCCCGCCTAGCGTGTGGGTTAGATTAACAGACCGCGCATCTCTCGAACCTGAGCCCAAGCGCAGGATTGCGGATCCGCACCGCCAGCGTGGTCTATGGGTTTTGGGCACATCGGATGGGTGGGGTTGGAACGCGCGTGTTACTGGTGCGAGCCCGGGCATCTGTAGCGCGCACCGTGTTCATTATAGTCTCCACAGGTATTCCCGGAGGCTCCGAAACGGTTCGATCGTATAAAGATCGTCCAATCAACAATCCCTCATTCAACAAAGCCAGCCATGACGTCCTCGGTATTACAAACAGGTGCAGCCGATGTGGCGAGGCATCCGGGTGCCCGCGGTGGCCGACAGTCGGTGGGCCCGTCCAACGCCGGTAACTCTCCTCAGTGGCATTCAAACCGTCTTGAGGGCATTGGATTGTGGTTGCGGGTGTCATCGGTACAATTTCCGTGTCCGTGACGCCTGAAGTTTACCAAGGTTCCCGAACACTGCACATTCTAACAATGGGAGGTTGGCAATCTCAACTTACGCCTTCTGCATTGGTGGCAGGTATCGAGGACAATCGCCGCGGCCACCCAATTTTCGCACCGGCACCCGGATGTCATCAGCGCCGATGTCGGCGGGGCCGACATGCGGTGGGCAAACGCACCTCCCAATAGTGTGGAGACGTCGCAATCGAATCGCCAGGCCGTGGCCGGACGGACCGCCCAGGCCGGTCGGGTCACCGTGTACGCTTTAGTATTATCACCCGGCCTGCCGTTGTATCCCCAATGGCGCACGGTCAGAAATTCAGTTAGTGAACGGGTTCAGGAAATTCCGCCGCGAGGTCCGTTTCAGCACAAAAGCCCTCCGCTCGGCCATTTCGTTCCCAACTGTATGCGAATATACGGTGGGCATCCAATAGACAGGCTTGCGGTTCCCAGCAGTCATGTGACATGGGAAGGCGTGCGAATGGTTCCCCGTAGAGGAGGCGCGCCGTCAGCGCGGTGGTCCGGTGGGGCACCAGTTGCTTGAGGAATACGACGCCCCGGCGGTAGCCACCCGAACTCCATCGCTGTCGCACGTAGAATCTGAAGTTGACCTGTTCAAATCTCGTCGGCCAGGGTCGGAACGCCGAGTACCCGCAGGTTCGAAATCGTCAGCCCACCGCGCTGACGAACCCGTCGCCGTTGAACCGGTCGATCTCGAGGCCTCGCGGGAGCAACCGAGTGACCGCGCTGTCGTCAATAGGCCAGGAAAGCAGGGCCAAATTTTGCCAGTGGGCGGTTATGAAACCGGGCAATGGCATCGTTAGCGGAGAATGCCGATGTTACGCGCAGACCGCTATCGCTCGCGCTCGGCGAGACGTTGCTCCAGGCGACGCTGCTGCAAGAGATGGTCAGGTCGCCGCGGGTTCGTTCCAGCACTCCCCGCATGGCATCGGTGCTGCGGCGCAATCCGCCGGTTACGGCCTCGGGGAAAGTCGACGGTTACCAGAATCCCGTAAATCTCATCCATCAGTTCCATGAACTCTTCACAACGGCCAATGTCGTCGCTGCGCAGGGAGTCCAGGATGTAACGCCGGAGTTCTCCGATCACTTCTGCCATGCCGTTGAGATACGCCGGCGGATCGACTCCCAGCTTTTCGGAATCGGGGATATCGCCGCCCGAAATAACCGCTAGCGTTATGTTAGCTTCCGTGAATTCCTTGCGGGCGTCAGATAGGAAACCGGCGTAGTAAATCTCGGGATTGTCTGTGCGAATCCTGTCGGTTTCCGTCAACAGTCCGGATGCTTCCAAAATCAGACGCGAGGCCTCGGAAAAGTCGTTGCGATGCACCGCGCGGATGGCATTGGCCGAGTTGCGGATAACCTGTCGGGAGATAACCAACGCCTGTTCGCGGGCCAGATTCCGCGCGGTCAACTGGTCAACGGCGGCGGCCGACATGGCCACCAGCTTTGAGCTGTAGCGGGTTGGCATCTGGGATGCGACCTAAACCCGTCCGCCGGCGGCTCGAATCGCGTCGGTAAGCGCAGCGGCGGCGGCTTCTGGATCTGGGAGCGCTGCCCACCGCGGCGGTTACGCAGATGGCGTCGGCCCCAGCCTCAACCACCGGCCCAACGTTGGCAGCTGTAATGCCTCCGATCGCTACCAGAGGCACCTGAGCGGCGGCGCGGGCCTGTTTCAAACGCTCCGGCCCCTGCGGGTTGCGTATCATCGGTTTGGTGGTTGTGGTGTACATTGCGCCGAAGGCCACGTGGTCAGCGCCCATCTGCTGCGACTCGATGATCAGGTCGGGGTCTCGATTGGAACGACCCAGCACTTGCCCCGGCGCAAGGATTTTGCGGGCTTCAGCGACTGGCAAGTCGGTTTGCCCGACGTGCAATCCCACATGGTCAGGGCCGATGGCGGCCGCGAGGTCGGCGTGGTCGTTGATGATCAGCAAAGCGTCGTTGGCCGCGCACAAATCGCGAAGAACCGTCGCCAGCGGCAGCTGCTCCCCCTTGTCGCGCAGCTTGTCGCGCAGTTGCAGCATGCGTGCCCCACCGTTGATTGCGGCTCGGGCGATTTCCATCGGGTCGCGCCCGCCCGTAACCTCCGGGTCGATAATTACGTAAAGACCTCGTATGCGATCCGCCTGGCTGCGGCGGAGGGCGGCCCCCATACGTTCGGAGGCGTCATGCAGGGAACGCCTCAGCTGCAGGGCAGCGTCTCCGGGTATCTCGCCAGCCAACTCCAGCAGGCTCAGAACGTTGTCGGCCGCTGCCGACTGCGTGATGGCGTCGTTGTAGCCGGCGGGCTGGGCTGCTCCCACGGGCGCGGGCAGCGGGTCGCTGAACGCGCTGGTCAACCAGCCTATTTCACCGCCCATCAGTCCTTCGGGCACGGCGTCAGAAGGCCTGAGCCCTTCCAGGAGACCAACCAGTACAGGCAGCAATTCGGTCGGATGGCGGTGAGCGGCATCGGTCATACGTCTATTCCTTTGGGAGTTTCACCGCTGCGGGCGGCGTCGATGGATTCTCGGACGGTGGCGGGCATTTCGACGCCGTGTCTCTCAAAACTGGCTTCAACATTGCGCCCGATGTTGCGTGGATCGCTGTAGTAGTCCCGGTTGCCAGCGGACATGGGGGTCGATTCGTGGACGCCGGCGGTGGTTTTGCCCATCGCGAAGGACGACATCCGCCGTTGCATCCGGTCGCTGCCGCACCCCTCGCACGCCGGTTCGATAGGAGTATTTATGGAACGGACGAAAAAGGACGACACAGCCTGGCACTGTTGGCAGCGATATTCGTAAATGGGCATGATGATTAGTCGTCTGGGTGCGCAATTTCGTGCCGGTGCTCGTGGAAATCGGGCGTAACCCGGCCGCCCATTGCTTCGTCCATTCGGCCCAGATGAGCGTCAATGCTGCCGGCGTGCTGGTTGTCCAGATCGGCCGTTGAGTTGTCAGGCATCCAGTTCAGGCTATCGCCCCACGACCGGTGGAAGGAGAAACCGGACACCAGTCTCGTCAGGTCGTTTGCACCGCACCCCCTGCACTCCAAACCGTCGGCGGGAGTCCAACTGTATATCAAACGGGCTTGGCGTTGACCGCACTGGTCGCAGCGGAATTCGTGGATAGGCATGGTGTCATCTTCCTCAAATCTGGAACAGGTTATTCCAAATCAGGAACTGGCATTTGACGCAATTGTAGCATAGTCCTCGCAGCCTGCTGCGACAGGTTACCAACCGCAGGCCGGGGTATGCTGATGTATAATGCTGCCACATCGCAACGGCTTACGCCCGGCTCGCCAGGCGCAATTGCAATCTCAGGACGGGGGTGCCCGATGGCCACCAACAGCCAAATGTCGATGTCAATGTCCTTTGGCTGCGGCGGGCCGAACCACCCCGCTGCTTCTGTTGATTGACGGACATGCGATGGTCCACCGTTCCTACCGGGCAATCAGCGTCAATCGGAATCTCACCGTTTCCACCACTGGAGAGGATGTAACCGGCGTATACGGCTTTGCCAGCGTGTTTATCAGAGCGTTGAACGAGTGGCAGCCGACGCACGTAGCCATCACGTTCGACACGCCGGCGCCAACGTTCCGGCACGAACGGTTCCCCGCTTACAAGGCGCAGCGCCCACCGACGCCTCCCGAGTTGCGTGGGCAGTTTGACCGGGTCAAGGACCTGATGCACACCTTTGCCGTGCCGGTATACGAGCTGGCCGGTTATGAAGCCGATGACCTGCTCGGCACCTTGTCCAAACAGGCCGAAGCATCCGATGTGGAAACCATCATCCTGACCGGCGACCGCGATACTTTCCAGTTGATTTCGCCCCTCATAAGGATCGATTTGGCCAGTAGCGAACGCGACCGCCGCATCGTTGACGAGGAGGAACTGGCGGAGCGCTACGGTGGCCTGACGGCGGCCCAGCAGCCGGATTTCAAGGCACTGGTGGGGGACAAATCAGACAACATCCCCGGCGTGCCGGCCGTCGGCGAGAAAACCGCCATCACCTTGCTGAAGGCTTACCAGACGCTGGAAGGCATCTACGAACACATCGACGACATACCGCAAAAGCGCATCCATACCAACCTGGTCGATAATCAGGACGCTGCCTTCGAGTATCGAATTCTGACCACCATCCGCTGCGATGTTCCGGTGGAGTTGGACCTGGATGCCTGCCGGTTTGGCCGCTACGAACGCGCCGACGTGGTGTCCCTAATGACCGCTCTGGAATTCCACACGATCGTCGGCCGCGTGCCCTCTCCGGACGCGCCCTGGGAAACGGCTGATAGGAGCCAGAGCAGAGACTCAACGCCGGCGCAGCAATCGACTGCCTCTGCCTCCGCTCCCCCGGACGGCGATTATCGAGTGGTAACCACTGAGGCCGAGCTTGGGGCCATGATCGCTGCTCTGCGTGAGGCGGGCGCATTTGCCTTCGATACCGAGTCCAGTAGCATTGATCCCATGAACGCAGACCTGGCGGGCCTCAGCTTTGCCATTGCTGGCGGTGTCGCCTGGTATGTACCCGTGGGCCACGCAACGGGCGAACAATTGCCGCTGGAGAACGTAATGGCGGACGTGCGCCCGTTGTTCACCGAGGCTGGATTCCATCGCAGCGCTCACAATGCCAATTACGATTTGACGTTGCTGACCAACTATGGCATCGACCCCTATGGCGTCATCGACCATGACACGATGATTGCTGCTCACCTGCTGAGCAAACAGCGCCTGGGCCTCAAGCCGTTGGCGCTGGAAGTGCTCGGCACTGAAATGACCAATATCACCGACCTGATCGGCAAGGGCGCGCGTCAAAAAACCTTCAACGAAGTGGACATCTCAGACGGCGCACCCTATGCCGCCGCCGATGCGGACTGCACCCTGCAATTGCGCGAACACTTTGAAAAACCGCTGGAGGCGCAGGGACTGACGGCGTTGATGTCCGACGTGGAACTGCCGTTGATTCCCGTGCTGGTGGAGATGCAGCGCGCGGGGGTGAAACTGGATTCCGGCATCCTGCACGAGATGTCCCGCGACTTGCACACCCAACTGGAACAAATTCAGACGGACTTGTTCCAGACAATTGGGCACGGCGTAAACGTCAACTCGCCCAAGCAGTTGAGCGATTTGCTATTTGGCGAACTTGGTCTGCCCACCACACGCCGCACCAAGTCCGGTTATTCCACCGACGCCAACGCCCTTGAATCCCTGAAAGGAATGCACCCGGTCGTCGACAAGATTCTCGACTACCGGCAGGTTACCAAGTTGAAATCGACTTATGTCGACGCGTTGCCCGAGATGGTAAACCCTCGCACCGGTCGCATCCACACGTCTTATCACCAGACCGGATCGGCCACCGGGCGCGTCAGCAGCAGCGATCCTAATCTGCAAAACATTCCGGTTCGCACCGAAATGGGACGCCAGGTACGGCGTGCCTTCGTAGCCGATGCTGATTGCCAGTTGCTGTCGGCTGACTACTCGCAGATCGAATTGCGAGTGTTGGCGCATCTCTCCCAGGACGAGTCGCTGCTGGAAGCATTCCGCCGGGGTGAAGACATCCACGCGGCCACGGCCAGCCAGATGTTCGGCGTGCCGCTCAACGAGGTCGACTCCGACCAGCGGCGGATTGCCAAAATACTGAACTTCGGCGTTATCTACGGCCTCGGCCCCTACGGTATCTCGCAGCAAACCGGATTCAGCCGGGAGGAAGGTCGGCAATTTATTGACACCTACCTGGCCCGCTATCCCGGTATCAATGGGTATCTGGAGTCGGTCAAGGAAAACACGCGCCTCACCATGTACGCCGAGACGCTGCTGGGCCGCCGCCGTTACCTACCGGATATTCAGTCTTCCAACCACAACGTCCGCGCCGCCGCTGAGCGCATGGCCATCAATATGCCCGTGCAAGGCACCGCCGCTGACATTATGAAGAAGGCAATGATCAATGTGCGTGCCCGCATGATTCGCGACCAGATGCGCTCCCGGATGATTTTACAGGTGCACGACGAGCTGGTCTTCGAAGTGCCGGACGATGAGATGGGTACAATGACCGCCCTGGTGCTGGATGAGATGCCGGCCGCTCTGGAACTGGACGTTACGCTCAAAGTAGACGTCAAATCGGGTTATTCATGGGGCGATTTCTGAAGCCCCAGCTGCTTTTGCAGGACGTATCTTCCATTTGGAGGGACTGATTCATTGGAACTTTTGCGCAGCCTGATTTTTGTACCCGGTAACCGGGCCAACATGCTGGAGCGGGGGCTAGGCTTCCCGGCGGATGTGGTTATGGTTGACCTGGAAGACTCGGTGCCGCCGGGGGAAAAGGCCGCGGCTTGCGAGCTGGCCGTCGAATGGGTGCCTCGCCTGAACGCTGCCGGCAAAAGAGTTATGGTGCGGGTGAACTCGCTGGATACCGGGCTCACCAGCGGCGAGCTGGCTGCCATCGTCTCTCCAGAGTTAGCCGGCATCAGCATAGGAAAAGGTGATACCGCCTGGGACCTGCAACAGGTTGATCGGCTGCTGGAACCACTGGAGGCCAGGTCAGGAGTCGCTCCCGGCAGCATCAAGGTTATTCCCTGGATTGAAACTGCAATGGCTATCGTCCATGTTTACGACATGGCGCGCGCTTCCCGGCGCATCCCCGGCATCGCATTCGGAGCCGAAGACTACACCAATGACATGGGTGTTATTCGCACCGATTTTGGCGAGGAGTGCTACTATGCGCGCTCCGCCGTGGCGGTGGCGGCCCGCGCCGCCGGTGTTGCCGCGCTGGATGGCCCTTTCGTCGGTTTTCGAGACCCTGACGGATTGCGAACCGATGCCAACAACGCCCGGCAGATGGGATACACCGGCAAGTTCGCGATTCACCCTGCGCAAGTTGACATCATCAACGAGACATTCACACCCCATGCTGACGATGTCGCCTACGCCCGACAAATAGTCGCTGCGTGGGAAGAGGCTGAGGCGGCAGGTCGGGGATCGCTGTCTATCGATGGCGCATGGTTGATGTGCCGGTGGTGAAACGGGCGCAGAACCTGCTGGCCCTGGTCGCTGCGATCGACGCTCAAACCGCCGGAAATCCCGGCGGATGATCGAATTAGCCCCGGACACCGTGCGGTCTTCAGGCCGGTAGGTTATTCGCTAATGCCACCCGACCGTATCATCCTATCCGGTATGCAGTTCTACGGGTTCCACGGTGTCAATCCCGAGGAGCGTCGCCTCGGACAACCCTTCGTGGTAGATTTGGAAGCCGAGTTGGATCTGCAACCGGCCGGCGACTCCGACCGTCTGCAAGACACCGTCAGTTACACCCACCTTTACCGCGTGGTAAAGGCCGTGGTCGAAGGCGAGCCAAGGAATCTTCTGGAAACCGCCGCCGCTGCCATTGCCAACGGTGTTTTTGAGCAAAACCCGGCGGTATGCGGTGTACGAGTGCGGGTGCAGAAGCCGCGCCCACCAAATAAAAGGATCGGTTATTGAGTCCGCTGGCGTCGAGATACACCGTAGACGCGGAGCTTGATTTGAAGCTATTGCCGACGATCCACTATGGGCATTGCGCCAGATTGATCATCTAAACGAAAGGGGTTAGCCATGACTGCCAACGATAATATATCCGACCCCAACATCGCCCGCGATTTCAACGATGCGACCAAGTTGCAATATGTCAACCTGAACAATAAACCGCCGCTATACAAGATTTACCCCGACCTGCGCGCGATCCCGCTGCCTGCCGTGGCTGAGCAACCAGGCCCGGCAATGCCCACGCTGGACGCCATACGCGGCGACTCGCCAGCAACGAATCCGCTCACGCTGGAAAACCTGGCCAACCTGTTGTATCACTCCGCAGCGGTTATCAAGCGCGCGCAACTACGGGACGGCGAGGTGCATTACCGGGCTGCAGCATCGGCCGGCGCACTGTATCCGACCGAGGTTTACGTAGTTTGCGGGGACCTGGACGGCCTCCGCGCCGGTGTTTACCATTTCAATCCTCGAGATTTCACGCTGGCCCGATTGCGAAACGGTGATTTGCGCCGGTGGCTGGGGGCTGCCTCCGGTAACCACGCCGCTTATCCGGCGACTCTGGTATTCACCACAGTGTTCTGGCGGAGCGCCTGGAAGTACCGCGAGCGCGGATATCGCTATTGCTATTGGGATTTGGGCACCGTTGCGGCCAACTTGCTGGCGTCGGGCAATGCCGAGGGTGTGCCAGTGGTGCTGCGATCCGGTTTTGTGGACCGCCTGGTTGGCGGTTTCCTGGGGCTTGATGGCCTTGACGAAGCACCGTCGATGCTGGCCTCGCTGGGAACGCCGGACGGACAGTTGCCGCCCGGTTCCGGGGACGTGCCCGGAATACTTCCGCAAGCCAGCAATGACCTTCAAGCCGGCGCGATCGATTACCCGTTGTCGCGCCAGTTGCATTCGGCATCAGCATTACGGACGCGCGAAGACACGACGGTATGGAATGCCGCCGGGGCAACGGCAGACTCTGGGCGAGATGAACTGGACGGTACGGGAGAAGGGTTCAGGCCGTTGCGCTCCGGAGCTGACGGCAATTTTCAGGCCGAGATCGACCTAAACGCCTACCCGTCCACCACATTGGGTGAATGCGTCCGCTTCCGAGGGTCCACCCGTAGATTCAGCGCTGAACCCATACCGTGGGAGGCATTTCGAAGTGTTATCGACGCGGCGGCGCATGGTCTGGACGAAGCCGGCGTTTACTGCGGCGCTGGCCCGTTGCTCAATCTGTACGTCATAGTCAGCGCCGTGGAGGGTATGACGCCGGGCGCATACTACTACAATCCCTTTTACAACGGGCTGCGGCTGCTGAAAGCCGGCGATTTCCGCGATACTGCCGGCCACCTGGGGTTTGAGCAGGCCTTGCCAGCTGATGCCGCCGCCGTCGCATTCATTACCGCCGATCTTGAATCGGCCCACCGCCAGTTCGGTCCTCGGGGTTACAGAGTGGTGCAGACTGCCGCCGGCCTGCTGGGCGGGAGGCTGTATCTAGGGATGCACTCCGTTGGGATGGGGGCCACCGGGCTGACCTTTTATGACGACACCGTTATCGACTTCTTTTCGCCTCACGCCAACGGTCAGGATGCGGTTTTTGTGGTGCCCATGGGCGTTCCCCACGAAAGCAATCGGGTACGCCCGTTCCGGTCTAGAACCGCCGTCGGCCTGGATGCCCGAGCGCGAGGCGCTGGGCAGACTTCCTGACCGGCGACATTCTGCCGCCCTGCGCCACGCGTATCGCAAATTGCTCGCTATTCCCAGTCCTGGTCTTCGACACGCACGAACCTGGGCAGTTCATTGGGCTCAGCATCAGTGTCCAGCATCGGCACGCCGTCCTCAGCATCGGAGCCAGCATCATCTTCGATCTCGTCGGACAAGGACGCCACCGCCGTTGACTCTTGCTCTGCGTCGACCACGAATTCGATCATCTCCGACGAGTCTGGCTCAACTTCGGATGCCGGTGATTCAACCCGGTCGTAATTGAGCGGGTCGGTTTCTGCGTTGGTCACCGAGGTTCTGGAAGTGGTCGGGAAGGAAACTACATTCCTCAGCGATGGGTGCTGACTCGTTTCCCGAATAATGACGGACAACTTGTCCGCCCGTATGGTCACCACGTCAGCGCTGTACTCGTTGCCGCCGTCAATGAGTTTACGCAAGCGACGCGCCAGGCGGGGCTCCACCAAACCCAGATATTGGCCGTCGCGGGCGGTAACTACGACGCTGTGGTTTTGCACCGCCAATACCACCGGATCGCCGGTGGCCACCCGCGCCAACACCGAGGGTTCTCCTCGGCGGCGCAACGTCGTGGTGCAGGATTTGCCACCCTCTTCGATGAAGTTGCGCGTCGGTTGAGCTCGATTGACGGCACTCTGACGTTGGTCTGCGGCTGTGGATTCCAACTTCCGCAGGCGGGACAGGTTTTTATGGGGCGATCGTGTTGGTCGGAGAATGTCGGCATAGCTCCTCGAGGACACAACCGGCTTCGGCGTAACTGCCCAACTCCATCAGCGCCTTGGCGAGTCGGTTGCCGGTTTCACAATCTTGGGGTAATAGGTCGAGAATTGCCCGATTCACCTCGACGGCGCGCTCCCAATCTCCGCTCAACGCCAGTTTGACGGCTTCTTTGCCAAGATTTATCCTGAGCCGAGTGCCACCGGTCGTTTCCCCCGGCGGAATGTCACGGTTTCGCGTAATGTCGTTCGTCATCATCAGAGTGATACTCCTCCATGTGATGATTGCGAAATGAAAATGATCTCTGTTGGTTATGTTTTTAGAATTACACCGCCGGCTAGGTGCAGGTCAATCGCCTTTCGGTGCAGAATTAAGGGGGTTTGGCAGTTTTCGGCTGATGTTCCGGAGGGTTCGCGACATCTACGACGCTGGATGCCATTGGAGGGCGCGCGAACTGCCAATCATTGACGCCGCTCACGGCGAGGCGTTGTGATTATTCTGATAAACGCGCGTGAACCATCGCCACCGCACGACCAGCAGGTCGCGCAGCGTGCGCCATCCGTCGCGGAGGGGACGTACCTTGCTCTCGGTTCGGTAGTGCCATTCGACCCCGACTTCACCAATCGATAAGCCCCAGGCGGCGTGCCAGAAATAGCAACTCGGCGTCAAAGGCGAATCCGTCCAGCGTCTGCAATGGGAACAGGATTTGGGCTGCGGACGCGTTGAACACCTTGAAACCGCACTGGGTGTCTGAGATGCCCGGCACCGCCAGGATTTGCGTCATCGCGTTGAACAGTCTGCCCATGAGCCAACGCCGTAGTGGTTCTCCAATGCGACGCGCGCCCGGAGCCTCACGGGAGCCAATGACAATATCGGTGGTGGGCGCTCGTGGCGGCAATAACGTTTCGACAAACTCAATGGGCATCGACAAATCGGCGTCGCACAGAAAGCGGTGTTGCCCCTTAGCCGCCAACATCCCGTGCTTTACGGCAGAGCCTTTTCCGCGGTGCGGAAGGGTGAGCAAGCGCAAGTTCGCGGTGTGGCTGGCAGCGTTACGCACCACTGCCGCCGTTTCGTCCTCGCTACCGTCATCGCTAACGATAATTTCCCAGTCGTAGGACTGCCGGCTCAAATACGCGGAAACCTTAACCAGGGTGTCCGGAAGCCTATCCTCTTCATTGTAGGCCGGGATTACGATCGATAGGTAACAGGTAGACATCCCGGGAGGCCGGCCACTTTGCTAACTGGCGAGGTCCAGCTGAAAGCCCTCGTGCAGCAGGCGCACCGCATCGTGGGCCCGTTGCTGGTTGATTATGCACGAGATTCGAATTTCCGATGTCGTGATCATATCGATATTGATGCCTCCGTCGGCCAGAATGCGGAACATCCGAGAGGCATATCCCGGTGTATTTTGCATTCCGGAACCCACCACGCTGACCGACGCCAGAGTGTCATCACTGATGATCGTGGCAGCGCCCACGGCGGGTTGCAGGCGTTCGATCTCCTTCAGGGCGCGCGCCAGGTCGGTGGTGGCCACCGTGAAGCTGATGTCGGTGGTCGTGCGGTCGGCGCTGGTGTTCTGCACAATGGTGTCGACGCTGATGCCAGCCGATGCCAGGGGTTCGAATAGCGCCGCGGCCACGCCGGGCTGGTCGGCCACGCCTTGCACGGTCACTTTGGCAACGTTTGTTTGATAGGCGATTCCGGTTACTTTGATACGGTCTTCCATGTTCTCTTCATCCGGTGTGGCGTGGATCAGCGTGCCTGGGGCGGTGCTGAAGCTGGACGCCACGTAGATAGGGACATTATAAACCGCGCCCAATTCGATTGACCTGGGGTGCATCTTGGCGCCGGCGGCAGCAAGTTCGAGCATCTCTTCATAACCAACGTCGGTGAGTTTTTGGGCGCCGGCGACAACCCGTGGGTCGGCGGTGTATATTCCCTCAACGTCGGTATAAATATCGCAACGGTCGGCGTCAAGGGCGGCGGCCAGCGCAACGGCGGTCGTGTCCGAACCGCCTCTCCCCAGCGTCGTGATGTCTTCGTCGGGTGTCAAACCCTGGAATCCCGCTACGATGACCAAACGGCCGGCCGCCAGCTCTCGCCGCACTCGGTCTGGATCAACTGCACTTATGCGCGCCTTACCGAAAGTGTTGTCGGTGCGAATACCGGCTTGCGCCCCGCTGAGGCTGATGGCGTCGTAACCGAGGTTACGCAGGGCCATCGAAAGCAGGGTAATCGACACCAGCTCGCCGGTGGACAGCAACAGGTCAAGCTCGCGCGGGTCGGGTTCCCGGGCGACGGTTTGCGCCAGCTCGATCAATTCGTCGGTGGTGTCGCCCATCGCAGAAACCACGGTTACAACCTGGTGCCCCGCATCGTGTACATCCGCCAACCGCCGCGCGACGTCAACGATTTTTTCCGCGTCGGCAACCGAGCTACCGCCATATTTGTGCACGTACAATGCCATCTGGCAAATCGAAAACGACGACCTGGTCAGTCGTTGGACGACACGGATACCACGTGTGCGCCCAGCTCGGTCGGGGTGGTAACTTCTACCCGACCCTCTACGCCGCACAACCGGGCCGCGTCGAACATTTCGTAGGCCACCGTCATTGCACGCTCCTGAGTCAAAGCCATGATGGCGCTGCCGCTGCCCGACAGGAAAACACCCAACGCGCCGGCGTCGCGAGCCGCTGCAAAAATCACTTTCATCGGCGGAAAAATCGTTTCGCGGTAAGGTTGATGCAGGCGGTCCTGGGTAGCAATTTTCAGGTATTCCGGTCGGTTGCCTTCCATGGCGGCCACCAGCAAAGCAGCCCTGCTCATATTGTACACCGCGTCGGCGACGCTGATTTCGGCGGGCAGTACCCTCCGGGCATCCACGGTGGCGATGCGATTTTCCGGGATGAACAGCACGGCCTGCAATTCCGCTGGAATCCTGATGGGCGCCGTGTATATCTGGTTGTCCTCCATCACGACTAACCGGAGCCCGCCATGCACGGCCGCTGCCACGTTGTCCGGATGCCCTTCAATGGTGGCCGCCATTTCGAGCAAGTCGTTGGCGGAGAACGGTTCGTCTAGCAATGCGTTAGCGGCCACCAGCCCGCCGGCTATAGCGGCCGCGCTGCTGCCCATTCCCCGGCTCAACGGGATACCGTTTTGGCAAACGAGTTCCAGAGGTGGAATTGGCGTGTCGGCTTCGTCGTACAGGAAAGCCATTGCCCGGTAGGTCAGGTTGTCGGTATCGCCGGCCAACTCGCCTTCACCCTCGCCGTTCACCTGCACCGTTGGCGTGCTGCCCGCGGGTAGCGTAGAAACTGTCAAACGGTTCCAAATGTCCAGGGCCATCCCCAGACAGTCGTATCCCGGTCCCAGATTTGCCGTGGTCGCCGGAGCTCGCACCTCTACGGTAGTCATATGTATCACTGCATTGCGCGGGACGGTTACGGCAGGACGCGTTCGCTGACGTAACGCCCGAGGTCGCGATTCTCGTGGAAAGCGAACCCACCAAAGTCGCCGCCAAACCCGATGATGGGAACCGTGCTTTCGTGGGCCGATCCGTGGGAACGCAACCCCGGCGGTAAAGAAATTTCCCCTGGGTCGCCGAAGACAACGTCTTGCTCTCCCGTAACCAGAACGTCGCCCATCCGGTCGGGCATGAGCAGGAATCGTTGGGCGGCCACATCGCGGGGTAGCGCGTCTTCCACTCCGTCAGTGGCCAGCAGCACCCCAACGGCGTCGGCGGTGGCACGCGGGTCATCCAAATGGACGTAAATGCAACCGCCCAAGTTGGAATGATGCAAAACGTACTGGTCTTTGATGATGGGGATTGCCTGAGCGCCGATCCCGTGTTTGGCCAGAATCTCGGGCAGGTGGAGCATACGCCTTTTATCTGACATTCCGTGGTCGGCGGTAATTAGCAACTGCACGTCCGGTACATCGTTCGCCAGGCGGCCGATCGCCCCATCCAGGATGGCGACATGGCGAGCAGATTCGGGATGATGCGGGCCGTAGGTGTGCATGGCGTAATCGGTGGTGGCGATGAATGCGAGGTCGTAATGTTCGGTCTGCAAGGCAACGCGGGCGGAGTCGATGGTCCAGCCGTTCACCTCCAGCGAATAAACGTGCGGCGGTTCGCCGGCGGCCGCAACAGCTTCCGGAGTTGGTTGTTCGGATGAATAGGCCAGGTGTGCATCATCTCCCAGCAGGCGGCGAAGTTTGTCTTTGGAAGCCGCCAGCAGGGATCTTCCTCCGCCGCGACGGCATTGGGCGAAAATGGTGTCCGAACAGATGAATTGGCCGGATTCCACGTATTCTTCGATACCAGCTTCCCGATCCAGCCAATAGTTAGACACGATGCCGTGTTGTAGCCGGGGTAGTGTCCCGTTACCATCGACGTGTTGTTCACGTTGGTAACGCTGGGCATCATCCCCCCGCCCGTTACCCGAAACCCTTCATTCGCGAGCCGTAGCAGATTGGGCGCCGGGCAGGTTTCCAGATATTCGGGATCGAGCCCGTCTATCATTACGAGGACGGTGGTGTGAGGCATTGGTTTATCTCACCTCCGGTCGGTTTTCAAGCATATTATAGCAATTGCGCGCGCCTGTTCTCCGACTTGAAGGTAATCGTGCAGCAGTCGAGGAATCAGAAACCGTTGCCGCACCCGATCCTGCGCAGCGGCTCCGATGGCGGCCCGCAACTCGGGGTTGTCGAGCAGTTGCGCCATGCGATTCCCGGCTTCCTCCGCGGAATCAACCAGATAGCCAGATTCGCCATCCACGATTTGCAACCGGATGCCGCCGACATTGCCGCCGATCACGGGCTTGCCCTTCCACATGCCTTCCGACACGGTTAGGCCAAATCCTTCGCGGGTGGATTTCTGCACCAAAACCAGTGAGTGAGTTTGCAGGGCGTTGACCATTTGGTCGTTGGTGGCGAGCAAGCCGTCCGGCGAAAAGAACATATGAATGTCAGGGTCGTTGGCGGCGTGCTCGCGTACCGATTCTAACACTGCGGCGCCCTCAGGGTCGTCATCGGCCTGGCTCAAGCCGAGCAGCGCGAGCTGCAGCCCGGGATGGGTCTGGCGAGCAATCCGAAAAGCGTCTATGACACCCCAGGGGTCTTTCCAGACGTCGAATCGGGACACCTGGGTAACCAGGGGACGGGACACGTCGATACCAAGGGATCTGATAACCTGGGCAGCGTCATCTGCGGGCATTTTGGCGTTCTTGGCCGTTAATGGGTCAATGGCCGGCGGGGCGATGGAGACGTTCAATCCTTCGGGCAATCGCTGGGGGACGTAGGATTCCAGCGAGCAAACTATCGTACGGTAAGCGCTGGTTAACGGCAGCAATTCGTCCAGCAACCACTGATTGGGGTTGGTCTAAGTCAATGTGAACAATCCAGATGCGTGTGGGCGCGATCTCAGGCTTCAAACGGCGACCCAACGGCAACAATTGCGGGTCGTGGAAATACCAGACATCAGCCTGCAGATCAGAGTTGTTGATCTCGTCGGCCACATCGTCCAGGCAACCGTAATATATTGCCAGCTCTTCTTCGGAAAGCTGTCCCTCGGCGCCTTGCAGCATGTTGTGAATGCGCTTGGTGACGTCGAAAAACCGGATGTCTTTTGGGGTCATCACCAGGCGTTGGGTTTCGACGCCCAGCGCGTTACTCAGCGGAATCAGCGAGTGCAACAATTCAGCCACTCCGCCGCCGTAAGCCGTGCTGTTGATATGGATCATTTTTAACCCGTTCAACCGATTGCCCAGTTCGGTCAACTGGTGTGCCGAATCGGCGGGCTGGAGGTCCAAGTATGGCCCTGATTCTGTTTTCGGTACTGAATTATGTCAATCAAGCCAGCGTTACCTCCCATGGCTAATAACGGCAAACCGACCGCAATGATACTGGCCCTCGACGAGTATGTACACCGGTCTTGTTTGCGGGATGACGTCATTTCTGACCAGCGTTGGTGTCATCGGACTGCTGCGATGATCAGAGTAACGACACCCGCCGCAGCGCTCCACGGTGCAAACCACCAAAGCCGCCCGCTGCGAACCCAGATGACAACCCAGTGCAGTCGTTCCCATTGCGATGGCAAATGTCGCTATAACCATCCCGGCTAATGTGATTGCGGACTGCCACGAAGCCAACCAGCGCAGCGGTTCGGGCCCAGTTTGCACCGACCAGACAATCGCCGCAGCCAGCATAACCGGCGGCGCTAACAGTAACGAAATACGAACCGCCTGATCCCGGCTGAGGCCAAGCCCTAAACCCGCTGCCACCGTCAGCCCGGAACGGGACAATCCCGGCACCATCGATATGCCCTGGGCCAGCCCAACCAGCAGGGTTGTCCTCCAGGACAAGGTTGGAAGGATTTCTTCATCCGTGAAATCATTCCCGCGGGGCGCCGCCACTAGTACCACAGCGTTGACAACCATCATGGCTCCGATGAGCCAGGCAGACAACCACCACCGGTACACAACGGTGTGAGCCAATCCCAGCGCCAGCGGTAACGCGATGGCAGCCGTTGCAATTTGGCGCGGCAGCGTAGCGGAGGGCAAATCCACGGGGAAGTCCGGGCTTCCAGACATTCCTGATGGCCAGCCAGTAGGCGCGTACGGTAGTAGAGTATCGCCGCCGTGGCCGTTACCACATGGAGAACTGCAACCGTAAACGCCCATCCGCCGGCGTCCCGATGAGGAGCGCAGTCACTCGCAAGTGCCCGCTGCTGGAAACCGGCAGGAACTCTGTTATCCCCTGCACTATGGCAAAGAGCAGGGCGGCCAGAAGCATAAAACCGTCGGCCAAAACTGCCCAGCAGACCGAACGAAAATCACTCGACGGTAACCGACTTGGCCAGTTCCGGGGTTGGTCGACGTCGCAGCCGCGCCGCACCGCGATGTAGTAAGCAAATAGCTGCAACGGGATGGTGGCGAGTATGGCGTGAGGTTCGGTGGGGCGTCGGGTATGAAAATCGGGCCGTCCACGATCTGGGCCAACTGGTCATCCCCCTCGGTCAGCACGGCGAGCACGGTGCCGTCGCGGGCCTTCACTTCCTGAATGTTGTTGGCCATCTTGTCGTACAGGGCATCGCGGGGGGCGATGGCCAGGGTGGGCATTTCGTGATCGATCAACGCGATGGGGCCGTGCTTCATCTCGCCGGCGGGGTATGCTTCGGCGTGGATGTAGCTAATCTCTTTAAAGCTTGAGCGCACCTTCGGCTGCGATCGGGGCGTTGATGCCGCGTGCCAGGTACAGGAAATTGCGGTGCCGGTAGAACTGTCGGGCCAACGCTTCGATTTTCCCGGAGTTGCCAAGGATATCAGCGATCCGTCCGGGGAGTCGTGCCAGCTCGTCGCTGAGGCTGCGATTCGCCTCAGCGTCCAGAAAGCCGCGGGCCGCTCCCAGACGCATGGCCAGCAGATTGAGAATGGTCAGCGAGGCGGTCAGCGTCTTGCTGCTGGCAACCCCGACTTCGATACCCGACCGCATTAATAACGTGGCGTCAGCGAGGCGCGCCGCCTGGCTTCCCGCGGCGTTGCAGATCGTGATCAACCGCGCCTTGCTGCTGCGCACTTGTGCCATGGCCGCTACCGTGTCCGCGGTTTCGCCTGACTGGCCGATTGCGACGACCAGAGTGTGTTCATCCAGGTATGGCTCACGATAACGGTATTCCGATGCAGACTCGGCTTCTGCGGGTATACCCGCCAAACGCTCTACCAGATGCCGGCCGACCTGGGCAGCGTGCAGGCTCGTGCCACAGCCGATCAGAACCACGCGCCGCAACTGGGCAATTTCGGTGTCGGTCATTTCCAAATCGGGAAGCAATACTCGACCGTGGCCGAAATCCAGACGGTCGCGGAGCGCTGCCACAACTGCCTGGGGCTGCTCCATGATTTCCTTGAGCATAAAGTGCCGATAACCGCCCCGGTCGATCAGCACGTCCTCCAGCGTTACTGGGCGCATCGGCTTAGCCACCTCGCGACCGTTGCTGTCCAGGAAAGTCACCCCGTGACGGGTGATTACCGCCGCCTCGCCGTCTTCGAGGAACGCCACCGGAAGCTGTCCGGTTTCGCCGATGAGGGGCAACAGAGCCGGCAGGTCACTGGACACGATGCTCTGTCCCTGGTGGTGCGCTACGGCCACTCCGCCCGCATGCCCCAACCGCAACGCGCAAATACTGTCCTGGTCACCTTCCTGGACGGCGACTACCGCCTGGGGGCCGTCAACCATGCTGCCCATGCGCAAGACGGCGTTTTGCAAGGTCAGACCGTCGAGCACGCCCTCTTCAATCAAGTGAGATATAACCTCGGTATCGGTCTCCGATTTGAAGTGATGGCCACGTTTTTTCAGGTCGGCCTTCAGGGACAAATAGTTTTCGACGATGCCATTGTGGGCCACCGCGATGGTGCCGGAACAATCCGTGTGTGGGTGGGCGTTGGATTCGGAGGGACGCCCGTGGGTAGCCCAGCGGGTGTGTCCGACACCAGCCAGACCAAGGGGTGTCGGGCCAACGAAATCGTCGACGAGGCCGTGTACCCGGCCCACAGTTTTGCGCAGTCGCAGGCCACCATTCGGTTCCAGGACCGCCACTCCGGCACTGTCGTACCCGCGATATTCAAGACGACGCAAGCCCTCCAAAACAATGGGCCACGCCGGCCGGTCACCAACGTATCCGACGATACCGCACATCAGGGATCAACCGCTATCCGGGTCGGAGCCGCGGACGGTCAGCGTAGCGCCGGCGTCGGCATCATCATCGTCGACCGCAATGGGCCGCACGCCATACTCGTTGCCGATGGGTTGTGGGCCACTCAGGTAGTCGCAATCAAAAACGAACGGAGACCTGGCCGCGTCCTGTGCGTCGCTGGCTCCCACCACAATTTCCATGATGGCGGCGGCCAGGGCGCCCGGGTCGTGGCGCAGGAATACGCCCGGAGCAAGCAACGGCCGTTGGACAATGCGTCCGACTAAGGGCATACAGGCCGGCTCATCCAGGATCGCCGGGTATTGGCCGTCGGCAGCATAGCGGTGCAGCAATCGGGGCGGCAGAGGAGTGTTGTTGGCCAGCAGGAAATCCAGTGGCTGCCGAGTTCCCAGGTATTCGGTTAGCAAGGCCAGAAAATTAGACGCCCGGAACCCGTTGCTTTCACCAGGCTTGGTCATCAGGTTGCACACGTGAATCTTGACTGCCCTAGACTCGTTGACGGCCTGCGCGACGTCTTCAACGAGCAGGTTGGGAAGTACGCTGGTGTAGATGTCGCCGGGCCCCAGAACTATGGCGTCGGCGGCGGCGATGGCCTCGAGCACCGGCGGATACACGTACGCTTGTGGTTCCAAGTAGATATAGTCGACGCCGACTTCAATCTTGTCGCTGCGCAGGTCGATAGCAGACTCGCCGATCAACTTGGTGCCATCTTCCAGGCGTGCGCATAACGTGGAGTGCGTCAACGTAACCGGCAGGACATTGCCGCTGATACCCAACAGGCGCGCGGCTTCACCGATAGCGGTGATGGTGTTGCCAGTGACTTCAGTCAGAGCGGCCAACAACAGGTTCCCGAAGCTATGGCCGTTCAATCCGTCGCCAGCGGGGGAATCGATATTCGAAGAGTCGGCGCATCAGGTTGCCGTCGTCCGTATCTTCGCTGCCACAGCGCCATCGCAAAGCCCGCGCCGGTCGCCGGGTGCCTGTGCACGCTCCATTTCTCTTCCCTACGCGGCCGCTGCTGCTTCGCTGTTCCCGTCATGGCAACAACGGCAGTCAAGTTGCAATCCGGGTGTCGAAGGCCGGTCAGGGTGGTGTGGTTGCCCGTACCGCAGAGAAGG